CCTGGCTTCGGATCGGCATAGTATTGGCCCGTTGCGCTCACTTGGGGAGTGAATCATCGGATGGAAGATCTTCCTCTCTGTCTCTCCTCTCTGTATATCTGCCTTTCCAATAAAAAATAAAAAAAAAAAAAAGATTTATTTATTTTTATTGGAAAGTCAGATATACAGAGAGGAAGAGACAGAGAGGAAGATCTTCCGTCCAATAGTTTACTCCCCAAGTGACTGCAACGGCTGGAGCTGAGCCAATCCGAAGCCAGGAGCTCCTCTGGGTCTGCTATGCAGGTGCAGGGTCCCAAGGCTTTGTGCCGTCCTTGACTGCTTTCCCAGGCCACAAGCAGGGAGCTGGATGGGAAGCAGGACCGCCGGGATTAGAACTGGTGCCCATATGGGATTCTGGCATGTTCAGAGCAAGGATTTTAACTGCTATGCTATCATGCCGGGCCCCAAATAGGCAATATTTTCTATCAAAGCAAAATAATATTTAGTGTGATGAAATTAGCTAAAAGTTATTTCTAGACCAAAACAAAATGTTATTATATAAGGAAAAACAATTATTATTTGTTCCAAAGTTAAAACTAGACACAGACCAAGGGTTTTTTTTTTTTTAAGTTTTATTTACTTTTGTGGGAAAGGTAGATTTTGCAGAGAGAAGGAGAGACAAAGGAAAAGATCTTCCAACCACTGGTTCACTCCCCAAGTGACTGCAATGGCCTGAGCTGAGCCGATCTGAAAGCAGGAGCCAGGAACCTCTTCTGTCTCTCTTGTGGATGCAGAGTCCCAAGGCCATGGACTGTCCTCTACTATTTTTCCAGGCCACAAGCAGGGAGCTGGATGGGAAGTAGGGCAGCCAGTGTACGAACCGGCACCCATATTGGGTTCTGGCACATTCAAGGCGAAGACTTTAGCTACTAAACTATAGCACTGGTCCCACAGACCAACTTTTTAACCACAGGAGAATGTATGAAATGATTGCACGGAGTTTTTCTTGCTGCTGCTGCTGCTGAAGTCATTTGCTTTTCATGTATAAAGCTTTTGGGGGTTATTCCCTGGGTTCTTACTAAATAGTTAAGGCTCTTTTCTAAGTGGCATATTGCTATTGTCACATGGTTACTGCATTCTGAATCCAGCCATCATTTCCAGAATATCATAGGGTCCCTTGCTTCATTGTGACAAACCCAAACATTGTAATTGGAAATTTTAGGTACTGTTCAATAAAATCTCCTGTCCAATACATTTTCCTGCAAAATCTATCAAAAAAGCACTTAGTAAATTAATCTAACTTGAATGCAAGGAAGTTCTTGTGTTACTGTGTTACTCCTACCCTCACTTTCACTCTCAGCATATCATGGGGTGTTTTTTCATTTGCCGTTCATGTTATTTCCAATGTTTTATTGCCACTGACATCTCTGACCTTAGGCAAAATTTCGAAGTAGACAAAGCTCATTGCTAGAGTCCCGTCTTCTTTTCAAGCATACACCCTCCAACTTTTTGATAAATCTATCTGGCTATATTGCATTCATTTCTAGTGCTGCTTAAATATTCATTGACTCTCATTGGAGTCATGAAGTGGTGCCACAAAATATCCTTAGACACCAACAGCTTGTCACCAGGCTTAAGCTGTTGCTTTCATTGCTAAATCCACTGATAAATGTTCATGCTTTATTGGATCTGACTTATCAGCAGATAGCAATAAAGCTGATTATGATGACAGCTTCTTCTTCAATATACTGGTTTTTTGTTTGCTTCTGCACCCTCCCTCCCACTCTCCCAGCCACTTGGACATCTCATATCCTAAGTTTGTTTTTTTGCCATTGATCTACTGATGACTTCTTTTGTTTTTGAGACAAACATCCACACACACCCACACACAGCCCACACAACAACACTGAGAGAGGGAGGGAGGGAGGGGAGGAGGAAGGGAAGGAGGGAGAGAGAGAGAAGGGAGACAAACAGAGGGTGCTCTCATGTACTGGTTAATTCTCCCAAATAACGTGTGGATCGGTCTGTGCTGCATTGGGTTGATGTCAAGCTTCCATATGCAGGAGCCCAGGTACTCACTGCCTCCCAGAATGCAATTAAAACGCAGCTTAAGTCAGAGCAGAGTGGAAACTCAAACCTAGGCACTCTGATACGAGAATATGGGATGCAGGCTTCTAAATCAACATCTTAACCAATAGACCAAACTCCTGTCCAAGCAGCTTCTTTTTATCCTTCTTTACCCCCCACCTCCCTGGTTTTAACATCTGGGGCTTTCATGGTCACAAGTTATTTTTCTTCCCTTTTTTCTAGAATCATTCTCTTCGTGATCTCATTGCTTAAAATATCATCTATATGTCAATGACTCTCAAATTTATTTCTCTGCGTGGCCTTCCTCCTGAACTTTTGATTCATGCATCCAACTGCTTATTTGAAAGTCTCTCTTGAATATTTACTAGGTATGTCAAACTTAAGCTGACTGAAATTGAACCATATATCTTTCTCAGTAAATCTGCTTTTCTATCTTACTTAAAAGAAACTTGATCATTCCCGTTGATCCAGGTAAAATCAACAGAGACAGCCTGGACTCATTTCTCTCCTGACACATTCAACCTTTATACATCTAATTTCAAAATACATCCAGAATTCAGTCACTCTTCAGTGCATTCAATTACTTTCAGGGTGTTAAAAGATAAACATTGGCACATTAAATTTTCAAATCTATGGATGCTAATGTTTTGGCACAGTAAGTGAAGCCAGCACTTTGGATGCTGACATGCCCTATCAGAGTGCCCAGGATAAAGTCCAGTTCTGATCCAATCCAATTTCCAGGTAATACACATGCTCAGAAGCAACTTCTAACAAGTCGGGTCCTTGTGTTCCTGCCACTCACTGGGAGAGCCACATGGAGGTTGCTGACTCCTGGTTTTGGACTAGCCTAACCCTGGATGTGGGAGGCATTGGGGAGTGAGGCAACAGAGGGACATCTCTCCCTCTCTCTCTTTTTCCCCTCTTTCTTTTTCTCCCCCCTCTCTCTTTCTTTTTGTTTCTATGCCTTTAAGCAAATAAAAATGAACATTTTTGAGTCATGAATGGGGCAGCTCCAGACCACAAGCAGTTCATAATTCCAGCCAAAGGGCACAGGAAAAGGCTTTTAAACAGTTAACATGGAGTAAAAGCAAAAAACATACTTGATTGGTTAGTTGGCCTAGTTAGAGATTAGAAGCTGTTTGTGATTGGTCAGGAGGCAAAATTATAATATATTTTTTAAAGGTCTTAATTGCGTCTCCCTTGTAATTCTAGAATCAGATACAGAGTGAGTATTCCCATGATTGGCGCAGTGGAGCTTAGTTTTATATGCAGAAAAGGAATAAGCAAACAAAAATAAAAGAATAAAGGTCAGTTTGGTATTTTTAAAGTTATTTTCCTTGTAAAGACCAGCCAAAATCCTACCTACTTAGGCTGGCTCGTATGAAATGATTCCTTTTTCATCATCACTATGATTCTTCTGTTGTTACTGTTCTTGTTTTAAATGGCCCAGTTTGGAATTCATTTTGATGATGTGATTCTATTCTTGATTGATCTGATCTGCTGCAACCTAGTTCAAAACAATGACGTCTGATTTTATTTAATAAGATTTAATGGATCCGGCACAGTGGCACAGTGGTTAAGGTCCTCGCCTTGCACGCCCGGGATCCCATATGGGCGCCGGTTCTATCCCAGCAGCCCCGCTTCCCATCCAGCTCCCTGCCTGTGGCCCGGGAAAGCAGTTGAGGACGGCCCAAAGCTTTGGAACCCTGCACCCGTGTGGGAGACCTGGAAGAGGCTCCTGGCTTCGGACCGGCATAGCATGGGCCGTTGTGCTCACTTGGGGAGTGAATCATCAGATGGAAGATCTTCCTCTCTGTCTCTCCTCTCTGTATATCCGCCTTTCCAATAAAAAAAAATAATAAAAAATAAATCTTTAAAAAAATAATAAAAACATGGAACCATAAAAACACCAGCGATGCACCCTGCGGTTTTCTGGGGTTTATCTACTGTCCACAAGCTTACGTGGCACACCTCAGCATCTGGAGCATGTTCTGCTTGCTGCCCACTGCTTTGACTGCCGTGATGTGCTTTTCCTCGTGGACCAGCATGATGGACTCTCGCACGTCTTAGTAGACTCCAGTGTGTCAGAGAGCAGAGGAGCGTTGTACTGGGGCTTCTGTCCATACACATGAAGACTACATGTGTTGGTCCTATTTCCTGATGAAGATTTCTAAAAATTTATTTGGCAGCTCAGTCACAGCTGTGTTGATTTGTTCCAGTTGTGACACTACACATGGTGAAGTAGGTTTAATTGAGGCTCCCATGTCGTCGATTGATGGTAGTCCATTTTTCTATCAACATGATTTTTGTATGGATCACACCGTTCAATTAAAGGAGAATATGAGGAAGTCTATCATTCCTCCATTTTTTAGACCTAAAGATGGCAACAATTTCTATCATTCCAACTGAAATATTGATTCCTTTTAATTTACAATTTTATTCAGGTTGGGAGGTGGCCATTTCAGGGGCTTTCACTCTGCCTTTCTTAGCACCATTGCATTGTCAACAGATCAAGGAACCAATGTGAGTTTTCTGTTTGCTGCTGCTAATATCCAATTCTGCATTAAAATTAGAGAAATTAGCTCTTCTGCTGTGCAGAGACTTTTCCTGAGGCAGATGCTGCACAAAATGGGTTTATTTCTCCTCATGGTTTCTTCACCTCCTTTCATTGCCTCTGGAGAAATAGACGAAGTTACATCTCAACATGAATCAAGCTGGGGCAATCATTTGTTCTTCATTTAAGGAAGGAAATAATTTATTCAAAGAACTTTAGAAACTGGCGTGTAAGTATTAGCAAGAACCAGGAGAGTATACACTATAGGAATTTTTAGAGTTTGGGATTATGGGAGAAAGCTTGACATGGGCAGAATAGAAACTTCATAGGGAACAATTTATTGATAAGGGCCACTCTGTTTTGGTACAGAATATGATACCTTGCCCAGGATTCTGGTTTCAGTTTCAATATGCTCCAAAATGCGTCCTTGGAGCTTGGTGATAAGAATGCCTGTAGAAGGGCCCAGCTCAGCAGCCTGGTGGATAAAGTCCTGGCCCTGCATGCTCCCGGATCCAATATGAGCACCAGTTTGTATCCTGGTGGCCCCACTTCCCATCCAGCTCCTTGCTTGTGGCCTGGAAAAGCAGTCGAGGACAGCCCAAAGCCTTGGTCTCCTGCACCCGCATGGGAGACCTGGAGGAAGTTCCTGGCTCCTGGCTTTGGATTGGCCCAGTTCTGGCTGTTGCAGCCGATTGGGGAGTGAGTCAGCAGACGGAAGATCTTCCTTTCTGTCTCTTCTCCTCTCTGTATATCTGACTTTCTAATAAAAATAAGTAAATCTTAAGAGAAAAGAATTCCTGCAGTGGAGATTGCAGAGTTACCTTGACAGACTATCAAACAAATTGTCAAAGAGAAACAATCAGAGTCTAGAGAACCTGCCAACTGACTGCTATTTGGAAGACCCTGGGCAGGTATTCCTCAGTAAAACTCTAGAATGCAGTGACAGACCCTCACTTAGCCAGGTCTTCTGATACCTTAACATTGGACTCCCTGGACTCCAGGGTTATGAGAATTAAGTGTCTGCTGATGAAGCCACCTGTTCTAGGTGGTTTTTATAGCAATGCAGTCTGACTCAAGGAATCAGGGCTCAGTGAAGAACTGAACCTGTGCCACCTGTGCAGAAAATTAGTGGGTGCACATAACCAGGACCTAAAGCTTCCATTGTGTATCCCTCTGGGGCTTTCCCCCGTCTTTTGGAGAAATATTATTCTGTAGATTTGAACTAGAGCTGAGAAATCTGAATCGTAACAATAAATTCTAGTCCTGTAAGACTGAATTGGCACTTCCCTAGTTAATATATTGGCTTTGTATCTGGAATTGCGCCAAATATCTTCTTTCTTCAAAATTATCCTTATTAGTAGTGAAATTTTTATAAACTGTTTTTCTGTGTTGTTTCCAACTCCTAATGAAACCTAAGCTCACTCAAAAAAGAAAATGTTGCTGTATATCGCTCATGTACCCCCACAACAATTGGGGCTTTTTTTCTGACTTTGCTTCATGTCATTTTGGTTTAAATCATATTGTCATCTCTCTAGACCTGCCAAATGAGGTGAGGCCTCATCTCCTTCTTGTAATCGTATAGTCAGAATTGACCTGTTGGCTTCAGTTGAACATTTTGTTGGGCAGTTAAGATGCCTGTTTTACACTGGAATATCTGAATTCAGTGTGCAACACAGGCTCCTTGCTATGGCTTCCATCTAATGCAGACTCTGGAAGGAAGCAGTAGTAGTACAATTAATTGTGTTCCTGTTACCAATGAGGAAGATTTACAGTGACTTTCCAACTCCTGATTTGTTCTTTACTTCAGCCTGGCTCTGGACTGTGCATTAAAACATGAATTGGAGCAACCTTCTTCTTCTCTCTCTCTCTCTCTCTCTCTCTCTCTCTGTGTTTGTTTTCTTCTATTAAAAAAGTCAAATAAAGAAAATATTTTATATGACAGCTCTGGGAAATCCCTGAGTTCCTAGATAGTTGTATTCACAGATACCTATTTGAGGACATAGAATACACTTGAAGCCTTGAGACAATGAATACTTTTGATTGCCAGACCCTGAGACCTTTTTATTTTAATAGAAAAATCTTTCTTTCCAGTCACTAGTATTAATTTCTTGAAAAATGTTTGTCATATTGATTTCATAGGTACGTGCTGTGTAGTTCTGTTTTAGCTGTTGAAGAGAAGAAGCCCAACATTAGTCCATCTCTCCCTGTCTCAGATCTCTGACACCTCTGCTGTCTGAAAAACGTTCATGAACCAGAGTGAGATTATTCCTTGACCACCTTGTGACCTACTTACCCGCTGATGTATTTTTCTGATTCCCAGGTGAACTGATACATTCTTGGTTTCTCAGCACTCTCTCAAAAACTTCACTGCCACCCTCCTTACAATTTCCATAATCTCTTGTGGAATGAGAAAGGTTGTCTCATGAACTGACCACCTCTGTGACCTCTTCCCTGAAGGGCTTAGTCTGTGGCTGGTGAAGGAGCATCTGTGCTTCCACTTAAGCTTCCCATGAATGTGCATCCAGGGCAGCATGTGCGTGAGACCCCTGCTGACTCTGGGCCTTGTGTGTGGCTATTGTAGAGATTGAAGAATGAACCAGTAGACAGAACTATGTTTCTCTGCCTTTCAAATAAAAATAAATTTCAGAAGTAGGCAATTTAATGTTAAATAAATGTTAAAAAATACTCTCACACAAACACTCACAGCCTTAGCTTTCTTACTAATTAAATGGTGTAAGTAGAAATATATCACTTAATCTTTTGGAGCGTCATCTGTCTTTTACATCAAAAGAAAAAAAAAGAGTAATCACTAGATTTGTGTGTGAGGCAAAATTCAATAAGGAAAAAATGCTTTGGAAAATATAAAACAGTACCAGTGCACAGGATATTATTATATAGACTACATTGTTCTGGTCTTCCAGTTCAAGTTGAAATTAAACAATGTGGATGAAGCATAATTTTCCAAGAGAAAAAATAGAAGAGTGAATAACAAGAGAAGGATCAATTTAATTTAGACTTCTTGTTTATATTATGTGAAATCAGTTAAAAAGAAATGGCATCCTGCTCATAGTTTTACTCCAAAATAGAAAATATGTTAGAACAATTGCATATAACCACACCGTTAATTTTATTTTATTTTGACGTCATTTCAATGTGCTTCAAAATGTCAAATGTTCATTTCACACAACAAAAATGATAAACTCAAAAATGAAATCATATAAGCAAAATTTTAAAAGTGGGACCTCTCCTGAAAAATATTAGTGTTGTAATTTTTCTCCTATAGTTCAATTATGATTATAGAATTTTAAATTGTATTTTGCATTTCTATAGTTAGAAATTTCAATTGATTTTTCTAATCTTTCCCCCGTCCTGGTTGTTGCTGCTGGTTTGCAAGCCCACGGTCAAGGTGAATCAGCAACTCCTATGCTTGCTTAAAATGATTTGAATTCTACTTGCAATCACTAGAGTGAACAATCACAGTACGAAGAAATCCCCAAGCAATTTTGTTTTCAGGTGGCATTCCCATCTTAATGCCTAGAAACGCTGAGATCAGAACACCTCCTCCCAGTAGATCTGGCACATGGTGCGATGCCAGGGTTTTTCTATCAAGCAGGTTATGAGATGATCTGTTTTTCCAAATGGAATTTAAAGTTGTTTCTGTATTGGCTACCTATAGCACTGGCCTCTAAAGCGAGGTGAATAAAAAGGATTAGGATGCCTGTTGTTATTTTGTAACTTATAAAATAGATAATTATGCTTTATTCGTGATAAAATATAATTTGATATTGGGGTTCTTACATCATAGTCAGTGTAAGGAATACAAGGGTAGTACTATGTTCATGTCTCTCCTTCATTCTCCAGGCCAGTCTCGGCAAAATCTAAACAGATTCTAGAGGTTGACAGTGATCTGCCACAATCTCAACAAAATAATAGCTCCAACTACAGCTTCTGTGTCATTGTGGAGTCTTTGCCAGATATATTGACACGGCTGCAGGTAAACTGTATGTAACTAATGAACTGGCAAGCATAGTTTTGTCCATCCCTTACCAGAAAGGAATAAGAAAACTTTTCCTTCACTCAGAACAGGCAAGCATGCATGTTTATGATCTTGCTCCAGGGCTGTGTCAACTGTTGTGCCCTTTGTGACAATACATCCAGAATAGACTTGAACCAGCTTCATATTCCACAGAACATCAAAGTGTTTCACTCTGTATATGGCATCGCAAGGTCTTCTGTAAGACATTTGTAAATTTATTGGAGTACAAACCTCGGAGACATGCATAGGACAAATTATTGCATTTTAATCTTCCTGCAATGAAGGAGGCAACCCAGATCCTGATCACCTTTTAAAATATTTTCATTAGACGTCCACAACTTAGAATAATGTTCCAATCTGTATGTCATGTCAAAGGAGAAGCTGTTAGTTCAGGACAGGAAATGGTTTTGAGCAGATTGAGGCTACGATGATTATACTGATCTCTTGAATATCCAGCTTCAGGTTTTCTATGATCTTAGAGGCATCAGCGGTGAGAGGAGATGCTTTGTGGCCTTTATGCCCAGTGCTAATGTGAGAATCAAAATAGAGACCTCAGGAACTCTGGAACCAGACTATATCTGCAGTTAAGTCTCTCATCCTTTATGATGCTTTGGCTAGCTGATGGAGAAAAAAAATACCATCTTCATTCACTGATGGTTTGGTTTAGTATGTAGATACAAGTGTAAGTGGTTAGTTATTACATTAGAACTCAATTAGAAATGACTTGGGAAGATGATTGCGAAGATAAATGTTAATAAGTTGAGCTTCAGGTAGTGCACCTGGCCATTTACTTTATTGTAGGGTGGGATACCCTGAAGCTAGAATATACACGAGCTCATAAGCTACAGCAAATTACTTGTTCAGCTGGACAGGAACCTAAAAAGAGGTCTGTGGTGGCAGCATGGACAAGTGGACACTGTGGTATTTGCTTCTTGTTACTGCTAGGAACATATGAAGGAAGGCTTAAACGATAAGCTAGGAGGCTGACAGCAGATACAGCCACACTCAGGCTTTTGCAACAGCCCTGTCATGAGCTAAAGTAACAACTCAGAAGCAATACCTGGCAATGATGGAATGCCACTCTCCAAGATACACCTGCAGTATGTACTGTAAGCAGTGATTCTTAACTTTTGTACCCTGAGGAACATATAACAATGTCTGGAGACATTTCCGGTTATTACAATTAGAGATTTCTATTGGAAAGTAGTGGATAGGGGCAGAAATACTGCTAAACACACTATGTATAGTACATCCCTCAATAACTAAACAGTCAGCCCAAAATATCAATTGTGCCAAGGTTACAAAACCTTGCTGGAAAGCAATGACTTTGCCCTGATATTCTTGCTCTCATGTTCCAATGTTTGAAATACTGTGCTCCTGAAGCCATGAGTTAGAAGCCAAAGCAGCCCCACTTTGCACCACTACTATTGACTTAGCTGGAAAGCATTTTTTCTTTCTACAGCCCT